AGAGAGAGAGAGAGAGAGAGAGAGAGAGAGAGAGAATCGACCGCTACCTGTGTCGGTGGGCGTTGGCGTGCATGCGGCGGCTTGTCTGGCGCACTTTAGTTTCCTGTACTTTCGCATTGCGCCGCACTTAGGAGGTTTTCGCCGGGTGGGGTTTATGGCGAACGCACAGTCCATCTCGTCGGCTTAGGGGGTTTCGTGATGCGCGTGTGGTTGTAGGTCTTTGCGGCGATTTGCATTGTGGTGTACACCGTTAGTGACGGGTGTGAGTGACGGAGGCCATCTCCGTGTGTGTGTGTGTGTGTGTGTGTTTTAGGCTGGTCGGGATCGAAGTTGCCGTCAAGGCCTGTTACATCGTAACCGTGACGTGTTGTGCTGTTGCCGGGAGTGACAGCATTAAGATAACATATCTTGTAATCTTTTTTTTGATGTCGTGGAGGTTGTTTTCCGTGTTCGTGTCGAATGACAAGTATTTTGTTAAAGAGAGAGACGCTGTGTGTGTGTCATTTTTATTGCCTTCATCTGTGCTCGCATTTGGAATGGGTTGTGTGAAAATCCATCACGAGCGCCCTGAGCGCCCGTGTCCGCGACGTTCTTCGGGTTTATGGTGTGGTTCTTGGCGGTCGACCCCAGTATCTCGTCGTAAACCGCACGATCCATATTGAAGTTGAAGCCCTTCGACATCCTGTCCTTCCCAGACAATTGGAAGAAGTCCTGTTTCCCGGACAGTCCTTGGAAATGATGAACCTTCTTGAACTGCTGCATCAGATTGTCCCACTTCTTCCCGCACCGATCGGCCTCTTTGTCGACGCCCACCTTCTTCAACCTCGTCGCCACAACCAGCCACTTCCATTCTCGCGGCTTCATCCGAGCGTATGCGTGGCCCATCCCCTGCAAATGCGCATCCTGATCACGTTTATCCCGGATGAGGGCTATAATGTCGTCGACGGACCAGAAGTGACGACCTCCTTCACCATCGACGTCACCTTCGGCATCGCTGCCCCTGCCTGCCGTCCTTTTGCCCCGACGACCATTATCGGCACACGACTTTGTCTTCCCCCCCCTCCCCCCTATAGCGGCCGCCTGATTCGACGGCGAAATGTAGCCTGCGTTGTCCTCCCCACCTTCAGCGCCGTTGTCGTTCCAGTCGGGGTCGTGCGCGTCCCCCACTGCTTCCTTGCCGTCGTGCCCGTCTTCCCCAACACGCAATCGCTGCACCCCACGAGTTATGGACTCCTCCCGCACCGACCTCATCAACCGTCGCTGTTCTGCCCACACCTCCCTTCCGTCACGTGTGTCACCAACATCAGCAACGGCAGGCGCCGTCTCCCTGCACTCGAACCGGCGGACAGCGGAGACGGAGACTGCATCCACTGGGGGCGAGCGGAGGGACCCCCACACACAGACGGCGACCGAAATTGCTGCCTAGGATGATCCTTGTTGTTCCCCGAAGCCTCCCGCAGCGGCGCTGGAGACCTGGGTGATCGCTGAACAGCCGTCACGTCGCCGCCATCGTCGTCGGGATGGGGGTTTACGACGACCGTTCGAGAGACGGCAGCCGACCTCCCGCTGCCGAGTCCAAACGATAGATTCACGCCGCCATCGCCATCGGTGTCGCTGAGCCCCTGCTGGAGGAGCTCGGTGTACGACTGCCCTTTACCGCCGTCGCGGCTTCCAAACAGCTCTGTAGCCGCCCACTCCTGGGTGGATCCGCTTCCCAGCGGCACGGTCCTTGACCGTCTATCGTCCCCTTCCTCGTCGTCCGTGTCAGGCAGAGGTTGCAAGTGTTGTGGCAGGTGTGCGTGCCCGGACCGCTCCGACGGCCTTCGACTATTCGACGGGCTGTGCCCGGACCACCGCCCACCACGCTCCCCTGCGGACCCACTGATCGCCTTCCGGCCCTCCATTCTGTCGTTGTTCTTCACACACCTCCTTCTGCGACCACGTCGCGGAAGGCCGCCGAGGATGCACACGTGGAAGACAACCAGGAGGAGTAGCAATAGGACGACCAGCAGCAGCAGCGTCAGCCTCCGAAACACGTCGGCCATGAAAAGCACGTGGATGACAGTGCCAGCTAGTAGACAACGGGGGATCTATCACGTAACGGCGACGGACACTGCTGCAAACGCCTGACCGCAACGAACGACAAAAGCACGGTAACACATTCCGTTTGTGAACACATTGCGCAATCGCCCGGCCGGGGGACAGTTCAAATATTCGAGTCTTGCGACCGTTGGGTGCCTTCCCGCTCGGGGACAAGGGCGGCCACGCAAGAAAGCCGCTTTTCGACGTCGGGGAAGTGACCGGGCCGCAAAAGGGGACCGTTGGCGCACTCTTCCATGACACCGGCCGTTGCCGATCGAAGATGTCCGTCCACGGGCGCCAGGAACAACAGTGGTACAGACGGCCGTGGCAAAATGTCGTCGAGAGAGCTGCCAACGACGTCCCGATTCTTCCGGATGCTCGACCTCCGAGGGACCTCGGGAGGTCCCTTGGGGAACGCGTCGAAATGGCTGTGGCCCGAGGAATCCCCGAGGAATCCCCGAGGAAATGTTTTCACTTTTTTTTTTCAATTTCTTCCCCGAGGATAAGTGGAACGATCATTTCCTCGGGGGATTTACACGCCCGAGGAGTGTGGAACGAGCCCCTATGAGCCGCCAAGCCCATCTCTGATGGATGTATGCAGTCCTGAATCCAGTGGGTCAGATCGTTGTATTTCAGTCTTCCGCCGCATTGTATTGTTGTTGTTTCTTCATGGCGATTCTTGGATTCTGCGCCATGCCTATCCGACACTTACAGGCATTCAATAGTGATCAAACCTGTGCTGAGCAGGAAAATAGGTAGATTCATGTAGCTCAGTCTCGTCGTAGAGAGCTTCCCGGTGAACCATAGGCCCAGAGGGAGAAAAGAAGACAACAAATATCTATCAAGTTATCAACTAAAAGAGCGCAATTTGCGAAACAAACGATAAAAATACAGAAGACAAACATGAAGAGCACACTGAAATCGTTTCTTTTGAAACGTTTTTCACCTTTTTGCAGTCACAGATGGGGGCCCTAGAGTTCGATCCCTCGACCTTACCTTGCCCATGAAAAGTATCGAGCTGAACCCCGAGTGTTTGAACCCGTGACCTGTGTTTTGGTAGTTGGGTGTTTTTTGTCGTAGGTCTGTGTAGTTGTAGGGGTTCGATCTGTAGGAATGTCGAGTAGGGGTCATAGCTGTGTAGTGGTCGAAACTGCTAGGCTAGAGGTCTGTCGAGTAGGGGTCATAGCTGTGTAGTGAGTCGCAGGTCCAACTGCGTTGAGTCGGCAGTGCAACGTCATGCAGTCAGTGGTACGAGTCCCAGTCACCCTCAGTCCGGTCAAGCAAGTACCGTGTGGGACTGTACACACCAAGGGCCTGGTGGAAAGGGGCAGACCAGCGGCAAACAGAAGTATATATCAAGAAGCAGCGCCCAGCAATTCATTCATTCGCTGCGTAAGCCATGCGGAAGTGCTGCTACAGCGTCTTGTGCGAGGTGGTCTGCAGGTCGCCCGAAGTCGAAGTGGGCTGAAGAGAGACAACGTAGCCATAGTCAGTAGTGGTAGAGCGGCCATAGCCGCTGTAGGAGGAAGATAGGCTTTAGTGTGTGTGTGTGTAAGAGAGGGAAGCGTGTGGAGTATTCAGGGTGATCCAGAATCAAGTATGTGTGAATGGTGGTGTTGGACACAGTGATGAGAGTTGGATGTGCAGGCGCCGAAGCGCCATAGTTTGTTGAAGCGTTTTTGCATCTGAACTGTGTTCTCGTTTTCCATATATATGAGCTTTGAGTGGATGCGCTGCGCTAGTGTGAACCGCCATCTGTTTGCATGTTTGCAAAGTGGAAAAGAAAGCAAGTCTGATTGCACTTTGCCCATTTGTATGCGGTTCTTCCTTTTCTTTCCATACTGTTGCGGCAGTGTTGCCTCTTTGATATTCTCTCTTCTTTTAGCTCCCCCTTTACTGTGCCTCTCACGTGCAAGGCTCACCATGTTGAGGAAGTTGAGCGTGAGCTGCCCACATCCCTGTGTGTCATAACGGCCCACTTGTACGCTGTGAAAAAGAGGCAAGAGTAAGTGTTGCATACCGTAAAGGTGCAGACCAGAACAAGAACCGACCTGTCTTACATAGTACAAGATAGCGCAGCGGAAGGCTTAAATACCAATGATCAGACCAATCAATGTCGTAATGCAGACCAAACATACATCATCATCATTCCATGGTGTGAAAGGGGCTGGCGCTCACACAGGAAGAGTG